TTTCCCTTGCATGGAGTTTGATGTATGTAACTCGGCTCCCCGTAACTTCCCAAGGTCTGTGTGCTTAGCACAGTGGCCTGCATACTAATGAGGGCTTTTACTTCTTTTTCAGATTATTTTTGATGAAAAAACTTAAAGAAGTAACAGATAAAAAGAAAACTAGTCTCTTGAAAACCATAGATGAGAAACTCACAGAAGCAGCCAGAGAACTGGGGTTCTCACTGGAACAGAGAACCGTGAAGATGAAACAGAGAGATAAGAAAGTATGATTTACGTCTGTTAGTCTCTGACTCTTTTGCTGTTTTAATAGGGGGTTTGCTTCCCACCTGCACCTTCTCTCCATCTCTCGCTGCCCTGTCCTGGGGAGAGCTGGATGCTGCCCTCGCGGGGCTCCCTCGGAGGCTGTCCACGATCTGGCTTGGGATGTCCTGCAGGTTGTCGGCCAGGCTGGGTCACGTGACGCAGTGCCCTTGCGGCGGGTGCAGAATTCAGCCAGGCCTTCTCACTCGTTAATCTTGATTTACCAGTTTCTCCGGTAGAAGAGTGAAAGCGGCTTTGTACATAATATTTGCTTAAATTTCTTTTTTTAATGGCTAAGGTCTGTTGATTTCGTGCCAAGAGTTTTGGGGGTAGATATGTAAAGGTCTGCCTTACAGTGCCTTATAGTTATAGCCCCTCAGGCAGTTGGCGTTTGAGAGCGGTGTGTACTGAGGTGTGTAAACTTCTCCAGGAAGTGGTGCATGAGGAGGCCCCTCTCCTTTGCCTTATGGAGCCCACGAACCAACGCTTCCCTTGGCGCCTGCCGTGTGAGTGGTTTTGTAAACAGCAGCTACTTCTGGGTTTTGGATCCTTTGGGTTTTTCACTTACAGTTGTCAGAGTAAGTTAACAGAGAAGCTAGAAGAATTCTTCCCTGGGGTAAATGAGACTTGTGTAGGAGTCTGTCCTAATCGCCCTGGGGAAGGAGGGCGTTCATCACGGGAGTCAGGGCAGCCAGCCTCTCAGCAATGTCTCCCGTGTGTGGCTGCTTCATCTGAGTGTTCTAGGCCAAATAAAGTACTCGTTAACCCGGAGTAAACTAGTGCTGGCAACTAAGCACGTCAGCTTACTTAGTTATTGAAAATCCTACTTCAGTGCTTTTTCTGATCTTGACTCGGCTGCAGGGCTGATGTTCTGATAAGTATAGTCACTGAATCGCAGCCTTATCAACTCTTCTTTAGTCCTTGAGGTCGGAAGCAGTTTCTAAAAACGTTCATTTGAATGAAACTCCTTGCAATGGGGCATTTTTCAGTTGCTCTGAGATTTCATATTGCCATTTCACCTTTCTAGTTTTCATAGGGAGCCTCTCCCACCTTATAGGGTAGGAAGGGGAGCATTTCTCACCCTGTTGTGACGTATCCTGATTGGTCTTGACTAAAGACTAAGCTGCTCCGAGCAGACAGCTGCCAGCAGCACATTCTGTCATCAACAGTTATTTCAGATGAGATTTCATTAATTCTTCCCCATAACTATAAATTAGATAGGAGTCTAATGTAATCTGAGTCTCAATCTAAATTTATTAGATTGTTTCATAGGAATGTTTGTCCTGGCCCCCTTCCCCCATGAGGTTTCTTTTTAGTATTTGTTCTTCTTACAAAAATAGCTGGTAAACACAAATTCAAAGAAAAAAAGAACTTCTAAGACAACCATGATTTTATCTTCCCAAAGACAACATGTGGTGATAATGCTTCCAGATCCTTTTCTATTATAAGTTTATTCTTTTATTGTTATTGTGAGATCTTCATGGAATAAATATTTTTCTAGTCCTGAAAAAAACTCAGCTCCACTAGCATGTGAGTTAGTGACTTGGTCCTTCTGTGTGAGAGTAGCACGTGCATTCTAGGGTAATGGAGCACTCCATGGCACACTAGCAATCTGTGTTTATACCAGCCGTGCCTTGTAGTGCTTTGGCCGGAGGTCCTGTGAGCTGCTCATTCCACCCCTACGACCAACAGGCAAGCACAGTAGGTTTGCAGAGGCTTTGCTCCTTGTGCAGAATTTTACATGACAGATCTGAGACCTAAATTCACATCTTTCATAGCTAGCATTCCTTTCACCCTATCTGACTAACTGGCTATGTGCCACTTTACCTCTTCCAATACCTAGATGTCACTTTTAAAATCGACATTGAGTTAATGTCGCTGTAAAATGAGGGTCTGTCATTCTGTCCACCTCTAGTTCTGATGCCTCACAACATCACCCACCCTTGTGCAGGGTTTTCCTAAACTGGTAAAATCTGATTCTTCGTAATAAAATTAGGATTCTGATGCTTTACTAATAACTGGTACCTCTTTATGGACAATTAGTACAATTTCTCATCAGTGAAAATACGTACATAGCATGGTTTTTGTTGGGTGTCAGCCTGAGTTGGGCAGAAGACAGTCATGCCATCACTGTTCCCTTTTGCGTTCGGCGTCAGCACTGCTTTGTGAACACGCTGTGGTCGTCGCTCCATGTGCTGCATGGCAGGTCTGCCTCACAAGGGCGCTGCGCTTATGTTCAGAGTTTAGGGTGCTGCGCTTATGTTCAGAGTTTAGGGTGCTGAAAACTCCACACATGCAGACAGCGTGCCATAAATAACGGTTCACACCTTTACTTGCACACTTACCTGATTATTTCCTTAGAAGAAATTCCTAGATGTAGTATTGCCAGGTCCAAAGTGGTTTTAAAAAAAAATGTATACAGGTATAAAAAAAATTAAGTGTGTGTGTGTGTTTTCTCTGTTTGCAGAACCCCCCCCCCCCCCAGGAGTTGGACTCCTTTGCACCCCACCTGCAGGGGCTGTGCGCCCCTTTCCCTGGGTCCTCGCCGGTGCTGGTCTTAGCAATCCCTTTGGTCTTTCCATCCTGAAAAGTATAAAATGATCTACCATTGTTTTCATCAGCATTTCTTTGATTGTAAAGGACATTAAATCGTTTTCATTTCTCTGCTGGCCATTTATATTTCTCCTGTGAACTGCTTGAACTTTGCCCGTTTTTCCATCAGGTTAGAATTACTTGTGTTTTCATTTGGGTGTTAAGTCTTTTCCATTATTTGTAAGACTTGCTTTATAGTTTAAAGACATTCATCTTTATTAACTTTATTGTTATATGTATATATTGCAGATGTTTTTCATCATTTGTGTTAATTTTGTTCTTGGTTTTTACTTGATATTTTTGTTAATTTTTTTTATCTTTGGCTGCATTGGGTCTTTGTTGCTGTGCACGGGCTTTCTCTAGTTGTGGCGAACGGGAGCTACTCTTCGTTGTGGTGTGTGGGCTTCTCATTGTGGTGGCTTCTCTTGTTGCGGAGTACAGGCTCTAGGCACGCGGGCTTCAGCAGTTGCAGCACGTGAGCTCAGGAGTTGTGGCTCACGGGCTCTAGAGTGCAGGCTCAGTAGTTGTGGCGCACAGGCTTAGTTGCTCTGCGGCATGTGGGATCTTCCCAGACCAGGGCTCGAACCCGTGTCCCCTGCATTGGGAGGCGGATTCTTAACCACTGCACCACCAAGGAAGTCTGATTTTTCTTTTTTATGTAGTCAAGTCTATAAGTCTTTTCCTTCTCCAACCCCAAATCATATAAAATATTTGCCTTTTCTTCTAGTAGGTTTATGCGTTTATTTTTACATTTAATCCTAAAATCCAACTACAGGTTATTTTGGTATCGGGAGTAAGATACAATGTAACTGTGACTTCATTTGTTTCTTCCCACGGGGTGAGCAGTTGTCTTGGGACTTGTTTGGAATAACCTGTCCCCTGTGTTGCTTAATGAAAGACAGTGAAAGCAGCGAGAGGGTGGAGAGCTGGTACAGAGACTTGGGGGCGAGGACCTTAAAACTGAGAGCGTCCTTCCCTCAGGAATGTCACTGGACTGCACAGAGAGATACTGGAAGATGTTTTGTTCAGGAAAGACCTAAGAATGCCACTAGTGTAAGAGAAAGATGCAGACTGGAAGGGTTATGATGGGGGTTGTGTTTGGACCTCTGTTTGTCTTTGAAAATTAACACTTAAGAAAAGCTCACTGGTTTATGTCATTTGCTTCCACGAAGGGCACCACAACACTAGAAACTGCCCTACTTTGGGGAAGTTTGCTGACGAGCCTGAATTTTCCAGGTAGAAACGGGGCACCTGAATTTTCACAAGACGGAAAGGAGTTCTGCCTTCCACGTCTCCCTGCTGATAAAAACCATTCCTTCTCCTTCAGGGCCAAGTCCCTCAGGCTCTCCGCCTAGAAGATCCCATGGCCATGGATGGAACTGACACCGCGCCCTGCTTCCTGTAGTGGGACGCACGGCGCAGACTTCAGACAGCTGACACAGTTAATAAAAGCCGGCTGTTTCACTGTCATACTTACTTCAAGTGCTTGACTTCTAGCTAATTTTAAAGGAAAGAAATATTAAACTTGTGCCCTGGGGTCCAAATTTACTGAAATAAAAGGGCATTGAATGTTGCATTTTTGCAGAAGTCTTGAGGGTTTGTGTGTGTGCTTTGCTTTGGGGTTTTCCCCCCCTGTTGTTTTCGTCTATTTACGGTGACTAAATTTTGTTTTTTTGTTTTGTTTTTTCCTTTTATCTAGGTCGTGACAAAGACCTTTCATGGGGCAGGCTTGGTTGTCCCAGTAGATAAAAATGATGTGGGATACAGAGAGCTCCCTGAAACGGATGGTAACGTATTTCTCACATGAACACGTGCATGTGCGTTAATGTATGCGGAGAAAGCTTTCCTTATGTTGAGAAGTAGGTGAGGACATGTGCCACTTGGGGGACAGTCACCTCCCCTTAGTGAAGAAGGGCTCAGGCTCTACGGTCAGTGAAGCCTGAACTGAAGCTGGGTTTGCCGCTGTGTAGCCTTAGCAAGTTACTGAACTACCCTGAACCGTGGTCGTCTTCATCCGCCATACGGGTAGTAGTGGTGAATACCATCCGTAGGGGTGTTTGGGGTGTAACCGAGCACGTAAGTGCTTAGCACACTGCTTGCCTGATAGCGCTCAAAGCAGAGTATTTTTACAAGTTTAAAGAATGTGAACCTCTGGTCTAGGTGACATTTTCTGAACTATTTTAGAGCCTTTGACATTGTAGCCAACAATGTACAATATAGTAATTAGTGAGACAGCACGCTTGTGTTTAGTGCTTTGTGAACAGTCTTTCACCTGTATGTAAGTCTGATTAGCTTTTAGAAGCCAGTGCTGAGTTACTTCATCTGTAAGTATAAAAACGACACAAAATCTAATTATTGCCACGTTGAAAAAAGGGGATGAAAATGGCTTCTCAGCTCCCCCTGCCCACCCCCCTTTACTTGAGCACCCCCGAGGGCACCACCTTCTCATCACCCTGCTCCCTTGCGGGCAGCGGGGCGAGGGGCACTCAGCGAGAGGGAATTAGAGGCGCCCCTGCGCAGCACGTAAAATGCAGGCCCTCCCTTGTTCAGAACAGAGCTGTGGCCTCAGCTGCCCTCCGCCTGGAGGACTCCCAGGGAAAAGCACTGCGCGTGGGCCCCGCGGTGGAGGGGCTGAACTTGTAGTCTGGCTTGGTGTTAACTCACCTCGACGTAAAAACTGCAGCAGCGTTAAGTTTTTCGTACGTTGACCATGTGTAGAAATGATACTGTTTCAGATATGTTGGGCTAAATTAGATAGCTTAAAATTACTTTCACATTTCTGTTTTGGTATGATGCCAAGGTGGGTTACACGCGCAGCCTGCTGCACACGCTGGACCTTCCTGGACCTCCTCCCTGAGGCCGGAGGGGAGAGGGGATCTGTCCCGGGGGCGGGGGGCAAACCCTGGGTTCGCCGCCTCCCTGTGAGCCAGTGCACCCCGAGCTTTAGCAGCAGCTTTACTGTCCTGTTGGGGAGACTGAGGGCATTTGTTACAGCGATTGTGGTGGGTGTTAAATTGCGGTCCCCTGGAGTAAACCGTTACCTCCCCTGGTTGGGGTTCTGGGTTTTATGTCCAAGGTCACTTTTACCTACTTTGTACTTTTTTCTAACATTCCAGCATTAGATCATTCCGTGGTTTAAATATTTTTGAATGAGATGTGGTGGCAGACATAGTTAAGGATCTAGTGTCTCACTGCTTTGTTTGCCAGGAGGTGTAAGTGGCTGGCGGTCTGTGGACGGGTGACAGCGCTCAGCGGGTCACAGTGAAGTCTGCTCCTGACCAGTTTCCCCCGAGGCTCTCTACACATAACACTGTAACGTGGCCCGGGGAATACCATTTATTGAGCACTGCATTGTGCCGTGGTTGACGCTTTTGGGGGATGTGTACACAGTGTTAACTCAATCCTCACCCAGGCCTTTACGCGGCTCTTATTCTCACGTCCGGGAGGTGGGAACCTGAGACGTGGCTCTGAGTGTCGCGTGATCGCCAAGCTGGCGGCCTGACTTCCCTGTGCTGCAGCCCGTGGCTCCACGCCGTGAGCCGGGGGGCGGTGGCAGCGGGGAGCAGAGCAGCAGCAGGCACTGAAGCGTAGTGACAGTGGAGGCTGCTCGCATGGTCTCGCTGCAGAATGTTGCCGGTGGAAGAACACGTCTGTCCTCCAGTAAACGTGTCACTGCTGTCTGTCCAGTGCAGTACTGCCTGCCACGGGGCGGGGGCCAGAGCGCAGCCCGTGACCGCACGTGCAGGGTGTGTGCCAGGGGCGTGCGTTCCGAGGTCAAGCCCTGGCAGACACTCACCGCTGTCGTCAGCCTGGGTTTGTGGTTAGTGTCAGTAGAGTGTGTAAGTAACATCAGTCCCTCATGCGTGAAACGCGGCACCGCGAGTTCCAGGTGTGACTGTTCATGTCGTGACCGAACCTCGTCCCTGCCAGCATGGCAGCCCCGTGTCCAGGAACGTGTCTGTTGCTCCGAGTGAGTGGCAGCTCGTCCGCATTATCGGATTTTCCCAGTTTGTCAGAAAGGAAGTCTAATTAGGCATCGTTCGGTGCCTTTCTTCTCACGTGCCTCGTGGGAGCTGACGCACCCTGGCATCCGAAAGCAGGGAGAAAAACGTTGAAAGTCCAGATAGAAATGTTAAACCACTCGTTTTTATTTAGATAAATGTTAGTTTTCTCTGTTCTTACCTCAGATTACACTTTGGCCGTAGCTGCACTTCCCCCACTTTGGTAAAAGTACTGGTAAAGGTTTAATTCTACACTGATTTCTTGTCTCTCGTATGTCTTTTTCCGGGTTTTGTTTTGTTTTGTTTAAGTAAGGTAGGAGGGGGCAGAAACAGCAGACTTCACTGTCTGTCTGGATGTTTTTTAATCCCTCGGTCTCCATAAAGTTTTTGTTTTTTCCAACCATTGAAAAATGGGAAAACACTCTTAGCTTGAGGGCAGTTAAAAACAGGTGGGTCAGGTTTGGCCATAGTCTGTGGACCCTGGACTAGCCCAGGGAAAATCTCTGGAAGCTGGTGTGATTCCTGATTGCAGCTAGGTACCACTGTGCTAATACAAGAAGTCTTTTTCGTTGAGTAAGCCATTTTTATGCTTGAATCTTAAGTAGAAAAACCATAAAATGGCCGTTGTAAAATACAGTGCCAACCAGAGAGGCATCGATTGCACTAGGACAGGGTCATGAGGAAACATCCAGGTTACCATCTGTGCCATGGTGGTTACAGGTAACCTTGTGTCCTTGATCTTTCAGCCAGTCTCCGGAGAATCTGCAAGACAATCGTGGAGGCCCCCAGTGATGCTGAGAGACTCAAAGCTTTTGCTCCTGTTCAGGAAATGATGACTTACGTGCAGTTTGCTAACGATGAGTGCGATTATGGGATGGGGCTGGAGCTGGGGATGGACCTCTTCTGCCACGGTTCCCACGTGAGTGAGCACACCCTGCCCCCTCCCTGCCCCAGCCCTGCATCCCCTCTGCCCCGCCCCCCCGCCACCTACACACACCTGCTCATTGCTGTCCGCAAGTCCAGCGCGCAGGGTATGGATTCAGCTTGAATTTCAAAATGAACATTTTGAAATGATTTTTAAGCAGATGTTGTGAGCATATTTTTTATTTGAAGTTCATCTTGTACTCTGGCTGAGGTGAATGACCCAGATGTTTTGCCCAAGTGACTTAACTAGCTACGTGTACGGCTGTGCCCTTCACTCGGGCGTGGACACACCTTCCTGGCTCCGCCTCACTTTCCATGGGGGGTTTGTTCTTGTGCTTGAATTCCGGGATGAAGAGTAAATGCTGTCTGTAAATATGCTGCAAATTCTTTAACACAGAGGAGGTGCTGTTTTACCATGAACTCCCTGCTCATCACGTAGGAGAAACGTACGAGGCAGCTGCAGGAGGCCGCTGAGCCGCGGCTGGGGGGTCGGGCAGGCGGGAGGAGTGGTGGCTCCGGCAGGCACCTGGGCGGCCCCAGCCTGAGTCCCGTCTCCCCGGGAGTAGCCGTGTGAGTGTGGGCCGTACTCCCCGCACCTCCGCACCACCTGGAGCCCTCCCAGGCCGTCTGCCTGCTGTGGAGACCACCTAATTGTCCCTTCACCTACCATGTCACCTGCGGCACAGAAAGAGCCCCAGGTGCTCAGGGCCACACGGGCAGGCGGCTCCCGCGTCAGCCTCTACCCCAGAAGCTGACTGTGCAGGCTGTGAAGTGCAGGGTCACCTGGGGACGCTGCGGGGCTGGAGCGGCGCCCCGCCAGCGTCAGGGTGCCCTGGGGGCTTGTTCCGCACAGGCTGGCGCGCCCCCGACCCCCCCAGTTCCCCTGGGCCTCACCGAGTTTCCTTCCCGCTGGGGCCTGAGCATTTGCGTCTCTGATCGACAGTTACCGGGTCAGGCTGACGCCTCTGTCGGGGAGTCTGTCTGGGGGACTGTCTTTCTCGTGCAGGGCTGTTTGTTAGCAGTAAAAATAATCAGAGTGGTTAACAGCCAGAGAGGGTCAGTGACCGATCAGAATAGTGCTTGACCAGCTTCACAGAAACTCGGTTGTCTTGAGAATCCAGCAGCATCGGAGAAGGGACGGTGAAGCAGGCAGCAGGCGCCAACGGCGGCTGCCTTCCCTTGTCCTCGGAGCGCATCTGGGCCCTTGACAGACGGAGGCAGCGACTTCAGGGGTGGAGGCTGACATGGGGCGTGGGGCGAGAAGGAACTGAAGACACGGGGGAGCCTTCAGTGCGATGTGAAAACTCACGTTCAGCTCCTTGTTCCGACGGTGCCAGCTAACAGAAATGATGATTGAAGTCTTATGTGGTGGGGACATGCCGACGAGAAGGAAAAGGCATTTGAGCGTATTGGGGGCAAAAGGGGGTGAGTAAACCGTATCTGAGGGAATAAGGACGCTTACAGTTTTTACTTGGTTTTCTTCTGAGTTTCCTTCAAGAAGTGCCCTTCGTCCTGAAGAGCCGCACGACTGCCCCAGGGACAGTGCCAGGCGCTGTCTCAGAACTCACTGTTGTCATGCAGACGGCTGGCTGAAGCCCAGCGTGTGGGGAGTGGGCTTTTTTTTTTTTTTTTTTTTTCCAGCCGCTCCGCGGCATGTGGGATCCTCCCGAAACGGGGCACGAACCCGCGCCTCCTGCATCGGCAGGCGGACTCTCAAGCACTGCGCCACCAGGGAAGCCCGGGGGAGTGGGCTTTGTTAACAACTGCCTTTTCCAGTATATTACCTGCTGCGTCCTCTGGCTGATGTCATCTTCTTTTGTTTTTCAGTATTTTCATAAAGTTGCTGGCCAGCTTTTACCTCTTGCGTATAATCTGTTGAAGAGGAATCTCTTTGCAGAAATTATTGAAGCTCACCTGGCGGACAGAAGCAGAGAGGACGTGGACCAGCTTGCAGCATGAGTGGGAGGTGCCTCTCTTGGGCAAACAGTATTTCAGAGCTTCAGTATGAAACATGATGTTTTCTTTTAAGGAGTACAGAAAATAAATGGACAGAAACATTTGCTAAAAACTTTTCTGAAGCTCTTGTGGCTGGTTTTCTTTTTTTCACGTGCAGTCAGATCATCTGCATGGTGATGCCCTCATCACGTGTGAAGAGGGGATGCACCTGCCGTGGTCCTCTCCGATGTCTTCATAGGATGTCACGCCTGACGCCTGTGGACGAGCACGCGGTCCTCCCCTCCCAGGAGTGAGTCCTGCTTCAGCGTTTAACACGTAGGCAGCGAGGAATGTGTTTCTGGGACTTGAGTTGACACGAGCTGCAGCTGTAAGCACTGGGCTTCTGGGCAGCAGGGAGGGCACAGGGGAGCAGACTCAGGACCCACCCCGGATCCTCCACAGCTGCAGGCACTCCGGGCCTCGCCCCATGAGCGTCCACTCGCTCCGTTAGGTCCGTTCCTTGCAGCAGCACTCCTCGGGCTCTGTCTGTACCTGCCAATCGACACGGCATTAGGGTGTCGACACAGTGTGCAGTCAGCGTACCATTCAAGTTTTCCGTTGGGTTTCCAGTACAGTCTGTGGGTAGCTGTGTTTGACCAGCTTCAGAGCCTTCTTCAACCTTGACAGAACGTCCTTCACCTTAAAACCTCAGAGCTCACAGTGAAACACAAAACAATAGCAAACTGTGGATTGGGCCAAAGGGCCCCTTAGTGAAGTTTCCCTCGTGAGGTTCAAGGTGGGAAAGCCCGCAGGTCACCTGGCTCACCCCCCATCTTGCAGGACTGACTGGACCTGCCCACAGAACTCTCCAAAGTTAACTGGGTCAGCCGCCTCCTTAGAACCCACCTGAGACCCGGACTCTTCGTGGCAGAAGGGCGAGGAGACGGGCAGGAGTTTGACGGGGGCAGGACTCGCTCCCTGGTGAGGCTGTGGGCTTTCAGGTCCCTCAGTAGCGCCAACCCCTGAACATAAGCGTATCTGTTAACCACCGTGGCCCACGCTCAGCGCCAGGGGGACCCACGCTAGCACGGTCTGGGGAACTGCTTGGTGAGATGCCCAGAAGCTGGGGAGCCCTGACTTCTGAGGTCACTAGTCCCCTCTGCTGCAGCCCACGTGCGGCAGCTGTCCTCCTCCCCATGGCCGTGCTGCCGCTGTGGGCAGTTAAGACTCAACTGATGGCGCCTCTCCCTCCCTCCCGTCCAGGAACGTCCTCATCCTGACAGCAGGGCTCCCGTTCTAAGAACGGACAGAGTTCCATTACGTGAGGCCTGCCTGCAGCTACTCGGGCCCATCTGAACACTGAGCGGCTTTATGTTAAAACGTGACAGTAACAATTAGCCCACACGTGCTCTGATTTGGAAAAAGACAGATCGTGTTTGGTCTTAAATAACCTTTTAAGAAGCTCCTGAGCTTTTCCCCACAGATTTCTTTACTTTCTAGGGTGCCTCTCAGTACTGTGGCAGTATTTAGAAACGGTTAACACATTTATCTAAAATACCGATTACGAAACTCAAGTGTCTTCCATTAAAACCGTTTGCTCAGCTAGAAATCCTAGGTTCCCTTAACTTTGCTATTTGTTGATCCAACAATCCCAAATGTTTTTTTAATTTGCCTTCTTGTGATCAGTAATGCGGATTTCAACAGGATTTCCTACCAAGGAATAAATGAAAGGGGACAAAAAAATTCAGCTTCTCACCCACACCTTACACAAACCTGAGTGCAAATCTTCAGAAAGCTGGGTATACTGGAGCCAAGACAGGATTTGGACAGGAGTGCCAAGAACGTGGCAGTTACAATTTGGATGCTATAGCTGTGAGCAGAGCTTCCTGAGGACAAGAGTCTTGTGAAAGACGTTTCCAGTCTCAAAGCCCAGCCGGTTGTGTCCGAGGGCTGGCAGCGCGTTTCAGGAGGGACTGGCCTTCCAAGGACCGAGCCTTGGCCATTCAAGAACAAGCCCCTCCTGCCAGCCCGACACCAAGCACTCCTTTCTTACCTTTTTCCTGCACTAAAGGCACAGTCCTTTGAAACCTCGTTTACTAGATATTTTTATCTACTCTTCATTGGCTATTGCGGCCTCCAAATGCCACCTGCCTTCCTGTTCATTTTAAGTACCTGGGCTCTTTCATGAGTAAAGCACCTTGACCCAATCAGAATTTAACAAAATCATTACCTAGCTCAAATTTAGCTAAGCTCACACCTGGAGCTTGAAAATTTTTTTTCCTGTGTAACCTCTAACACATGTAGAATGATTCACCCAAGAAAATAAGCGGAAGCAATAAACCTCACCGGAGACCGTGATCTCAACTGTCTCCACAAGAGCACACCCCCTCGCACCGGCTCAAAGCACCCGCTCAAGGCCGCCTGTCCAACCTGCTCCCCGCCCCCTGGAGTCCCTCCTGCTACTCAAGCCCCACCCCCCGCTCAGAACAGTGAGTCTCCCTCAAACATCCCCATTGCTTAAAAGAAGCAAAATCCAACTGAGTAAACCCCGAAGACCTTGCTGGCTGTGTTCAGCGATTCATCCCACCCAGCGAGCAGGAGGGGGTCCGAGGGGCTGTGCAAAACGGGCGGGCCTCCTGGGCCCAAGGGGAGACGGTGCCCTGTTGGAGCTCAGGTGACCTACCTGCGGGGGACAGAGGGGCCCGTGGCGGATGACCTCACTGGTGCTGACCGGGCACCTCCAGGCTGCCGGGGACTGGACCTGCCCTTAGCTGAGGGACTGAGCCCGTGGTTTGGTGACGTGGGCTTGGTACAGGGCCTCCGTCGGGGGCCCGCGGTGTCCTTGTAACACCACCTTGTAACACCACCTTGTAACACCTTATAAACAGCACAAGCCATAGTATCCCGCAGCTTACAACACAGCACCGTCCATCACACACTGCTATTTCGAAAGCCGTCCCCGATGCCTTCTGCAGAACTCCCTCCAGTCACACTGCGGCTGCCCGATCCCGCTGAACCTGCCCCGGCCAAAGTCATCAGTGACGTCCGCGGGGCCGACTCGTCCTCACTGACTTCACCTGTCGGCGACCGTGACTCGCGCCCGGGGGGGCCCACCTCTCCCACGAGGGGCCTCTGCACCCGGCCTCATGCTGCCCTGACCGCTCGACCCCACGGTGGCCTTGTCCTGCCCCACGAGGAGGCTCAGGTCTGGCCCGCGTCGCGAACAGAACACGGACCTCAGACACACAACCGCCCGCCGGACGCCCTCGCCCAACCCAACCGGTGCTCCGAGCTCCCTGGCCCAAAGCCCGGGAGACCTGACGGCCGGCACCCCGCTCCAGCCCTGCACGTCCCGAGGGTCCGCACGCCCCGCCCCGCAGGCCGAGCCTCAGGAGCGACCCC